CAGTCTGTGCTGAAGATGCTAAGGCGAAGTTTGCTGAGTTGGTAAGACAGACTCTGATAAGCATTCCCAAACCACCAGTGCTGCTTCTGGAAGCTGCTCCTGCTGAAGACTCTCCATCTGAAGATGTTGCATCTGATATGGACATTGATGCGTCTGCATCTGAAGTGAAGGCTGACAATTCAGAACTTGTGAAAGAAGTTAAGGAAATCAAGTCCTGGATGATCAAACAAGAACAAACTACTGAAGAGATTAAGACTTGGAATGCCAAGCAAGAAGAGTCTACTACAAAGATCACAAATCTTCTGACCCTGATTGCATCTCGTCAACCCTAGTTTCTTTTCATGTTTTTGCACTGCTGTTTTGCATCTGTTTTCTCTTGTTTGTTTGATATCATCTGTTATGTGAACCATCTGAATGAATGAAATTGTTTGCTTTGCTTTTCTTCTATTATCTTTTCTGTCTTTACACATCTTTTTTATTATGACAAAAAAAGGGAGAAAAAGAATCTGATTGTTCAATCCATAAGCAAATACTAAAACAAAATTCAGACATATTATTAACTATCTTTGAATTTAAGTCTTTCAGATTCTATTGTTTCATCTGACAAAATAAACTCATTGAAGTTATCCTGAGAATTACCCAACCAGACTCTGATTCTTGAAGCAAATTGTACTCTGAGTCTAAACGCAAAACTAGACTCTGTGTTTGAAAGAAGTCATCAGACTCTGATTAACCAGACTCTGTGTTTGAAAGAAGTCATCATACTCTGATTCTGAAATACACTCAAGCAAAAAGGGAAGTATTCTTTTCCTTAGAGTATTCATTTCAGGGGGAGATTCTTAATCTCAGGGGAGTTATAATTATTTTTTTTATTGAACAAAATTTCTCATGTTTTGTCATCATAAAAAAGGGGGAGATTGTAAGAACACAGACTGTCTCTTAGTAATATCTCTATGTTTTGATGATAACTCTTATGAAATTTTGTATTAAAGAATTATATACTCTAAAATTGGCTCATGAATATTTGCTGCAGATAATTAAAGTATATATACATTCAAGAACAAATTAATCTGAACTTGGAACTATGGAAGGCTCTGAAGAGTCAGAATCATCTTATAGAAGAATCTGAGCGCTGTCTGCAGAAGGATCTGAAGCAGAAGCTACAGAAGGATCTGAAGCAGAAGCTACAGAAGAATCTGAAGCAGAAGCTACAGAAGAATCTGAAGCAGAAGACTCTAATAAGATCTGAAGACTCTGAAGCATTAAAGAACTTTGTATGAGAGTTAAGAAGCTCAGTTTTTCAGAAGACTCTGAGAGTACTACACGCTGCATGTACTGAGAATCTGATTCATAAAACTCTGCTCTGATAGAACTACACGCTAAAGCACACTTGCTGCCTTACTCTGATTCAGCAAAATCTGATGGGTATCCAAGACTCTGATCATGCAAAATCTGATGGTTAACTTTGCTGAAAAGAAATACTTGTTGAAGAAGAATTCAAAGTAACATCCTTTGATTTAGCTCAACGACTCTTTCCTCTTTCATGCTTGACACTAGAACACAGACCAAAAGCATTTCTCTGTGCATTCTACTTCCAGGAAAGGTCATGTAATGTAAAGACAAAAAGGTTCAGGCCTTTTCAGTACACAACCTCCAATGTCAAGACTTTGTGGACTACTGTGCATATAAAAGCAAGTCTTCATCATCTTCTTCAGTAGTAATCAAGAACCAACGAATCTCTGATAGAAAATCTTACAAGCTCTCATAAAATATTCTTATTGCTGAGTTTATTCTTTTGTTCTTAAACATTAAGTGAAAAATCACTGTTGTGATAAAGCTTGTTAGAAGCATTCATACACTTGTATTAATCTTACATTTTAGTGTAATAGTTCCTTAAGAAGATCCAGTTGGGATCAGAAGTTCTTGAGAAGACTTTGAACAATTGTTCTTAGTGCTTACTATTGTAATCAGTTGATTAAATAGTGGATTAAGTCCTTGTTTGAGAAAGGCAAATCACTCTAGATAGAGTGGACTGAAGTAGTTGAGTTCAACGAACCAGGATAAAAATACTTGACTTTTTACTTCTAAGTTTTTATCTTCATACTTATTCAACCCCCCTTTTAAGTATTTTCTCACCTTCACTCTTTGTAACATTAAAAAATTTGCAAAAATAAACTAGTGTAATTGATTGGCATACTTGTGTAACTGATTACACTATATTAAAAATTAAAAAATATTCAAGACAAAACCAAAATGCAACCGGTTGACTTATTATACTAACCGATTACATTAATGAAAAATTTGATTTTTTTTTCACTTTGAAGTGCCATGAATTAAAAGTGTATGCAAAGAGAATATTTGTGAAACTTAAAGAAAAAAATGAGATGAAATTTATTTAAGCATCTAATTATTAAAATTAATACTCAAAATAAACTTGTCTTCACACGAAAGACTATAATAGAATTAAAAAAATGAAACAAATCCAAAAATAATACAAATCGATGCAAACATTCAATCTATAACAAAACATAAAAACATATTGCAACAACAAAATTAAAAAAAAATGTCAAATTTTAAGTTGATCTTCTAGTATCTCTAAATTTGTTGCATGTTGAGATGAGGGAAATTTTAAAAGTTGAAGAACTAATGAGGAAAATTTAAATTGTATTCTTTTTATATATTATAGCAACACTAAAACTATAATAATCCAATAATATAATATAAACTCTCAAATATTACTTATATAATAATATTATCACTACACTAATTTTATCAAAATTAAAGTTAATAAAATCTTATTTAAAATTAATTATGTCTTTATAAGGATGAAATAACGTTTAGATGGGCACTCACGTGTCCGTATGTCCGTTTTTTTAATGCACACACGTAAAATGATATAAATGATATTTTTTTAATTTAATATTAATTTTAAATGGAAGTTAGGTAGAAAGTTAATAGTAAAAAGTTACGTAGAAAATTAATAGTAAGAAGTTATTTGGAAGATGATAATAGTGCTTTCAAAGGAAATTATGAGATAAAGTAAGGGTAAATTGGTAGAAAAATAGGCTAAACCAAAAGAAAGTTTTAATTTTATATATGTTATAGATTATAGATTATAAATTAAAAATAAACATTTTAAAAAAATTAATCATGATAAATTAATACACGATTTCATATTTGATTTTTTTAATTATGACAATTTAAGATATCAGTAATCTTTCAAAATTTATAGAAGTTAAAAGGAAAAAATATATTAACCATTGTATTAAAACATCACAACAATAATAAATTCTTTAATCAACAATATTAATTAGTTATTTTAAATTAAAATGTATGATTTAATAACAACATTAAATAGTTTTTAATTAAAATTGATACTAATACCATATTATATATTTATGTTATAAAAATTGTTTAAATTATCTATACAATCTATACAATATATATAAACGGAATACTTTATCTTAGTGTGATTTATTTTTCTATTATTTTTACCCTTATTTTATTATATAATCTAATTAATAACTTCTTATTATTAACTTCCACGTAATTTTTTATTATTAACTTTCATATATTGTATTTTTTTTAAAATTTATTTAAACAAAAATAATTATTTATATTTTCATTCATGCGCATAGACAAGTGCCCGTCTGAACGCTAGTATAATATAAAAAAAGAAATTTTTTTAAAAAACACAAATTTGTCATATTTTTATTAAAATTAGCAACCTTAATTGAAGTTCAAAATAGACTTAATTAAATGATCTCTTTGATTTTATGAAACCAGAAAAATATAATTACTTATTCAAATATTAAAAATATATATATATATATATATATATATATATATATATATATATATATATATATATATATATATATATATATATATATATATATATATATATATATATATATATATATATATATATATTTTATGTATTAAATCTTTTTGAGAAAGATGAATAAAATCATCAATTCACTTTATAAATGACTCATATATCAATATTTGAAATTTCAAAATTTGATGTTTGTTTAAAGTTTTGATAGTTGATTATAAAAATAATAATAAAATGTGATAGTTGTAGTAAATTAAAAGTAATAAAATTTTAATAATTTTATTTTCTCCTATTATAAAAATTATATGAAATGAAAAAAATAAAAATATATATTAAAATTTATCTAAATATTGAAAAGTGAAAATTTATTATATTTTTAAAAATATGTGAAAATAATTATGATAGTTTATAATAAGTACATATTTTAAAATTAAATTTTCTATTACAAAATAGTTACTTATTTAATATAATTTTAAATATTTTTTATTTTTAATTATACTTTTTAATTGCATTGTATAAAATTTATTTAATAAGTTTTATTATGTATTAAATATTTTTAAGAAAAATGAATAAATTTAAAATTTAATATTTGTTTCAAATTTTATTACTTAATTATAAAAATTATAGTTAATTTTTATAGGTTAATCAAATCAAATATAATAAAATTTACTACATTTTATTTATTTGTTGTAAAAATGATATGAAAGGAGAAAAATAAACTATTCATCTCAATATTAAAAAATAAAAAAGTATCAATCTTTTTTTAAAAAATATATTAAAACAAACGGACGCACGAAACCTAAAACTAACTTGGGCTTTAACTACTTTTTTTTAATAAGTAAAACATGTTTATTAAAAAAATATTATTAAACGGGTGAATAATACCATTGTCATCCCTAAGTTACATCATAAAATTGTACTGTGTGAGCAGAGATGAAACCTTAGAGACGGAGGTGGAGGCAGACGATGGCTCTTACCACAGTGCACCACACAAATCGCAATTAACGCGCAGATTATGCGGCACTGCCTCCATTTTGATTTCCGTTTCTCCAATTTCCACACATTCACTTTCTAGGGCTTGTGAATTCGGAACCACACTTTCTTACACTCACACAGTTACGCACACGCACACGCACGTAACCGTTTTCCTCAATCCGAGTGCATGGAGAAACAACAGCAACCACAGAAACGCCCTCTGTCTCTTGACTGGGACACACTCCATGATACGCCGGCGGCGGAACTCGTAGTGAAAGCTCCCGATCAGAAACCTCCGCCGTATGTTGACCTGGATAGTCTCAAGGATTATGAGCTCGAGGATGATATTAGGAGAAAGAAGAAGCTTCTTGAAACCTCCGGTAGTAAATTGCCAGACGGGGGAAGCAAACTTCGCGCTGCCATTGAGTTATACGAAGAAGAGTTTCGTAAACGGAAAATGAACCCTCGTCCTCAGGTTCTGGTCCTTCATATGCCAATTCAACGTTTTTGTTTTATTTTTGCCCTGGTTGATTTTAGAAAATTTTGTTTTTATAATTAGATTCTATTGGTGCTTTTTCTGTGATGATTGATTTTGCAGGACTTGTTTCGTTGCTAATGTCATGTTTGTTTGTTTGTCATTTTGGTTTTCTATGTAGAACAGAAAGTTGATGAGGAGCAGAAGCAAGGAAAAGCTACTGCCAGCTCAAGTTCTGTTGGTGAGGGTCTGTACTGAAAGCATGAAATTGTGTAGTGCTTCCTATAATGGCTTGACTTAGAGTATATGTGATTTTTTTTGTTAGACTTGATAGTGATTGGATTATATGGAGAGCAATGTTATAGCCACTATTTGACAATAGTATAACAGTTCATACTAACTGTATTGTAGAACAATAGAAATTTGTTCAAATGCCGCTATGTTATAGCGCTATAGTGCTTCCAAAGCTGTTATTTGAAAACACTGCCTGAAAGTCACACTTGGTGCTTTTGAACAAAATTTTTTGATAAATTCGAAGGCTTTCTTTGGGAGTTAGGATGGAAAAGACTGGGAGGGATTTAAAGGGGACAAGAGAAAGGCAAATACTACACTTCATTTGGAAGTGTGTTTTTGTTGAGGATGGTAAAGAATATGTATGAGCAATATTTTCTTTAGTTAAGGAATATTCAAGAGACGTGAAGGGTTTGAAAATTGATTCAAAACCCTTCTTCTACACAATTTTGAGCTCCTCCATATTGGATAGTTTTGGTCCAAAGAAGAAAGAGTAACATCTATGTAAGGTGGGAGACTATTCTCCCTTTCCTTTCCTCTCAATCTTTTATCTTCGAAGTCCTTGTTTTCCTTCCCCACAACCAAATAGTGCCTAAGTGTTTATCAAACGAGGGTTTATGTGACAAACACTTAGCTTTGTTTTGGAGTTTTGAGGGAAAGGGACGAGGACTTTGGGGATAAAGGAAAAAGTAATGAGGAGTGTCCCCTCACCTTGTATGAAAATTTTATTTTTCTCTATTGGGCTAAAACCCTCTAATATGGGGAACTAAAAAAAGTGCATTGAGGAGGACTTTGGAGGGTTTTGATTTTTGAACAATTTTCAAGTCCACTATTTCTCTTTATAATACTTAAAAAACTAAAATTACTCTCAAGTATATTCAACCTCACTCCCTTAAAAAATATTCTCACAAAAAATGTAAGCAATTCCCCTGGGTTTCCCTTCCCTCCAAAACTCTCCTCTGTTTCCCTCCAAACTCATAAAAAAAAGTCGTAAGCTTTGTTTGAGAGTTTGAATGCGAGGACACTTTTGTATTTTATTACTGCAAGATGAATCTCTCACCTTAAAAGAGAAAATGAGAAGGAAATGCTTATGATTAATATTTTTTATTTTATTTTGAGAGTATTATAAAAGGATGAAAAGGATTTGATTAATTTTTCTAATCTTCCTCAAATACATTTTTGAGTTCCCCCATATTATGTGGATTTTGTATTATGAGAAAAGTACACCCTCATATGTGGATTTTGTATTATGAGAAAAGTACACCCTTATTCAAGTTGAGAGACTATCCTTCTCTCTTTCCTTTTTTTACTTCCTTTTCCCCAAAGTCCTCCCTCCCTTACTAACCTCCCAAACACAACCATAAGTTCGATAAGCTATTTACATTCTCAACATTTGTTTTCATTTTAAAAGTAGAATTTGAGATTGATAGGAATTAAAGAGGGAACAGGGTTAAGTTCCACATAAGCTTTTTTATAAGCCATTTTGGTAGTGAATTAGTAAACAACTTACAAGCATATGAATAATTGATTTTATTAGCTTCTCCAAATATTTTTATGAATGTGTTATCTCATGAAATAATTCTAAATAAACTATTCACAATTACCCTATATGGTTTCTCGTAGAAAGTGTTTATTTCAAATTATATTTTACCTTTAATGTTTCTGGAAAAGGTTTATCTAAGCTAGCTCAGGAGATAAAATCCACTCATGCGTCTTCACCTATGAACTAGCTTTTGAAATAGTTGTTTCATCTCATATTTATTTATTAGTGGCTCTTCGGTAACAAAAGTGAAAATATCTTGAACACGGTTTACCACATATAATTTTTGTTATTTCTATTTGGAAGATTCCAAGTCCTACATTGGTTAAGCACAAAGCTTGAAAAGAGTTTATATAGAGTGACACCTTTCAGCTTACAATTACTGGTTTTGTAAATATTAATTAGGCCAAACTCTAATATGGTATGAGAGCTTGAAAAAAATCCCAAATTCCACATTGGTTAGTCATAGAGCTTGAAAAGAGTTTATATAGAATAACACCCCTCACCTTACAAGTCGATTTTGTAAGGATGAGTTAGGCCAAATAGTTTATATTGAGTGGCACCCTTCATCTTACAAGTCAGTTTTATAAGGATGAGTTAGACCAAACTCTAATATGGTATTAGAGTCTATGATCAGATCATGGGTTGCCCACTGTTTATATCCACACACCAAACCCAAAAAAAAGTGATGAGCATGAAAGGGGTGTATTGATAAGATCCAAGTCCCACATTGGTTAGATGTAAAACTTGAAAAGAGTTTATATAGAGTGACAATCACCCCTCACCTTACAACCTGGTTTTGTAAGAATGAGTTAGGTCAAACTCTAATATTTAGAAAAAATAGGAACTTTTTTTTACTTCTAGATTATGAATCTCAACATTGGAAACCTGATTTTTAGCTTGATATATCTGTAAAGCAGGCTGCAGTGTTGATTTAATTGCCTGTTTGTTGTTTTATAATAAAAAGCTTAACGCTTTTGTAGGTGTGTCTAATATCCCGAGAGAAGAGAATTTGCCATCTCGTCCACAGTCAACATCTTCTTTTGCATCTTGTTTTATAAAGAAAATGGAAGATAATGTAAGGTCCTTTGCATCATTTGTTAAATACTGTATTTAACTCTCTATCTTGCCTGATATAATGTCTCTGACTTCAATTTATGAAGCAGACTAATTGTACATCTGATGATGCATTTAGCAACGAGATGCCGCATTTCAAGCATTGCAACAGCCAGGTAGTACGACACAACAGAGAGCCTAAAAAAAGAAAGAGACGTCGATCATCTTCAAGACCATTGCCATTTCAATTCTCGAGCAAACTTTCCAAATGTGATACTTTTAGTGATAATGATAAAAGGTGCCGAGCCAATTCTACCTTATCGGTACAGACAATTAAAAGGAATCTATCAAGACAGTTCTCAAAAGAGTAAGAGAAAAAATGCATCTTTTTATGGCTTTTGGTTCATTCCTTTTGGTTGATTTAGGTATTGGTTGTTTACTTTATTTGTTCCATTTGCCATTGCTAATTGGCTTTTACATATAATATCTTGCTTATTTCCTTTTCAGAAAATTAATGGGTGTTTGCCATTGTATGATTTTCATAAAAAATTTATGGGTTTTCATTCTCCTCGTTTTGAATAAACATTATTGTGTGATTTTCTCATTGAAATATTTACCTCATTTAGTCACTTTTCCGTTGTTAAATAGACTTACCGAATGTAAAAGTTCATGATAGTTGATGTTACCTCATTCAATGTCAGTGCAACTTTGATTGCCTATTTACATGTTAAATTTATACCCCAGTCCTGTGGGGGTGTTCCTTAGTTCATAAGGCTGTGTATCCTTTTATATCCGAGGGTGGGATTTCTGGTTATTGGCTGTACACGGTGAAAATTCAAAAGCAGAAAGGGATATTTATCTTCTAACGTTATGTTTAACCCCTCCCACTTCCAGTGAATTTATGAATATGTGTTTTGCTGTGTCAGCATAATTAGACTTTTTTTTTCCTTTAAATATTTTCAATATAATTAGACTTTTCTTTTCCTTTGTATCATTGCATCTGCAATTTTCTCAATAAGATGTGAAGTATTAATGTATTATTTATTACAATTCTGTTCTCACTCCTGTTCTACTGTGGTTGTGTTCAAAGGTATTATTTATCTTCAACATTGCCACTTCACCATAATTAGCAATAGTAAAACATTGAAAAAATTCCTGTTTTTCACCCTTCTCTCCTTAAGCTGAAGATGGTGACAGACAGGGTTTGCTGTTAGTTTTAGAAGTAGAAAGGATAATGTTTAGATTATTGATTACATTGCTGATAACGTTATATTCTTGATTTCTCTTTTCTCTTCTGGTAGTAAGGGTGCATTTCAGGAAGTTCAATCAGATGGTTCAAGGTCCAGGAAGGTATGTTTGCATAGCTTATAGAGTTTGGTAGTTGTTAGTTATACAAGCCCCAAGCTGATTAGTAGTTTTTTGATAATATGGTATTACACATCTTTCTAGCTTCCTTATTTACTTACAAGTGATATGTTATACATGACATGTTCTAAACAGGGTCAACCCATTGTTCTCGATGATGACGACAGCGATGACAGTGACAATCCTCATATTGTGGAGAAAACAGAAAACAAGGCTCCTGAATAGTAAGGGAATTTGATTTGATTTGTGCATCTATTTAGGGTTTATGAATCTGCCAATGAAGTTTATTATGTTATTTGATTTGTGTTTTCCTTTTCAGTTTGAAAGATGCTAAGATCTATTTTCCTTCAAGGTACTTCACAAGATTAAATATTAGAACATCGTCCTTCAACCATAGTTTTCTATGTATAGTCTGTGTTGCTTGACCTTTTAACTTTGCGTTATGATGCTCAGAGATGATCCTGAGTGTGTTGAAGTTTGTTACAATGACATGGAATGCCTTGCTCCTGAAGGTTACTTAACATCAACTATCATGAACTTTTACATTCGGTAAGTCTATTTGGCCCCTTCTGTGCCTTCCGCTTGCAGGTTCCTTTGAGAATTATTATTTTGCAATGAAGAGAGAAACACAATATTTTGCTGCCTTCTCTTGTTACCCTCAAACTCATAGAACATGCTTTGGTACCATCACCGCTACCAACATCATTTTCCAGTAGAAGGAGTTAGAGATAAAATGACGCCATCATATTTTCTCATAAATCACGGCTGGTGATATACTATTGAATTTCAAATCATCCTTAATAGATAGAAATATAAATAAAATCATTTTACCACCTCTGTCTCTACATGCACTCTATAACAAAACACAAGAATTAAGAAAATTTGTTTTTACATTTAATTTGTCGACAATGTACATTCTCTTTTCAAAATCATCCTTCAATTATTCAAGAGAGAAATGACAAAGGATTGGTCTTTTAATTCCCTCATTTAATTGGGGGCAAGTTTGTGAAAACTTAATTAATACATCTTGTAATTTGGAAGAGTCTTGTTAAAAGAGACAATTTTTTTTTACTGGGGGTTATATAGGAATGAATGTAGAATTATCAATACCCTTTTTGTTATATTAAAATTAGAACTCTTTCTATTCACACACACAGTTTTGCGAGCTTTTATTCTGAAGTCTAGAGAGCTTGAGCTTTCAGCTAAATGATTGAGAGGATAACTCCGGGCTTGAGCTTTGGTGGTTTAATAAAACAAATGTGTATCTTGATCGTTTTCTGAATTGAACTTCAATATTTAACCATTCACTTCCATCTACTGAACTATTTATGTTATCATATTTATAGTCTCTTTTGGACATATGATGCTGAAAATTTTAATCATTCTGCAGAATAATAGTCATACTTGGACATACTTTGCCTTTTTAGTTCTCGAGCTCTTTACTTATGACATTTTGTATTGGCTAGATATTTAAAGCAGGTATCTCCGACAATATCAGACTACCATTTTTTCAACACATATTTCTACAAGAAACTTAAAGAAGCTGTTTCCTGCAAGGTACTTAATCATCTTCCTGCAAGTTCATAGCTGTAATCATATTGTGCATGATGGAGATTGTTTTCTGAGGAAGCAAGCTTTTAATCATTATGATTTAATGAGTTGTTGATTGTTCTTCCTTTCGTTCTTCCTTTCTTTGTGTTACTAAATGTGTAATTTGGAGGTTTATTTTGAGATTAAAATTTACTCAATAACTTCTCCTTTTGCACTAGAACCTACTCCTTCCGTTTCAAAATGGCTGTCTTAAGGTTTTTGCACACATATTAAGAAATGCAATGATATTGTCATAAGATATTACACTTTTACTAAATTAGTCTTATTAATATGTTGAAAATAGTACACAAGTAATAATTAAATGACACAATTGAAAAAATAGTAATTATTACTAAATTAAAAAGTGAGAATGACATTCATTTTAAAACAAAAATTTTCTCTTAAAACGACCATCATTTTGAAATGGAGGGAGTAATATTTATTTATACATATACAAGGTACTCAGGCTCGAGATCCTACGCAAGATCGGGTAGGCATAACAAGATCATGAATTGGAGGATCGTAGCACGGATCGTAATATCCTACAAAATTTAGAAATTCACTATATTGCATATAAATTCATAATAGGCATACGAAGCAACGTAATTTAGCTTGAAAAAAACTTCTAATAATACTAGCATTACTTTAAAAAAACTGAAACGGTTCTCTTGTGTATGATGGAGGGAGTATTTAATGTGAGCGAGGCGGTGAGGAAAAGCCATCATGGTAAGTTCCACTAATTATGGGTGTAATATTGGGAAGTTACAAAATCATTAATTAGTTGGTGTTTATTGATTATTAATTAATTTTTTTAATTAGGCGGTAAGGTCCACTAATTTTTGGTGTAATATTGGAAAGTTACAAAATTATTAATTAGTGGCTGCGTATTGATTATTAATTAATTTTTTTAATTAGACCAATAAAGTCAATTAACATTTCAGCTTTTAAGTGTAAAAAAAAAAGATCCGCTGTCAAATTAACGTTTTAATTTAGGGTTTTTCTTAATGGGATCATAATTTCCAGTGGTCCTACCTGCGAACCCGAAATTCTGGGTTGTAGAGAGAATCGTACTTGAACGGCGATTCAACCGTTTCTATGCCTTTTTGTGGCGATTCCGCCGTGCTTACCAAAAAAAACGATTCTGACCATATTCCAAAACGGAGAGGGGTTGCAAGATCACAAAATCGTCCGATCCTACGACTTGGATCGCGATTCTGACTACCATGTACATATGTATAATTATTTTTGGAATTTTCCGTTTGTTGCTTTTTGTGCTGTGTGTAGGCATTTAGGACAACTGCCCTTTCTGCTTTACAGAATACAATGCCCGTGAAACAGTGCATAACGAATCTAAAAAAAAGCGGGATAAAATATGTTATGAGAATAGATTTAGTAATTAAAAATTTGACGACGTGGTAAATGAAAGTAGTTAAAATATTAGTGCATACCAAATCTAAAAAAAGTGGGATAAGAGATGTTTTTTCTTGTGCAGTGTGTAGGTAGGTATTTAGGACAACCACTGTTTTTGCTTTTTACCAAAAAGAGGATAATGCATCCCCTGATGTTTTATTGATCAAGGAAGATAAGGAAGATCAAGATGGAAATGCTCCATCTTTGGTGGTGTCTTTTACAACCTTAAAAATCTGAAATTGTTCTTGAAGCGTCCTGAGATGGATATCCAGACGCACCCAAATCACAGCTAAAATGCGCTATTCTAAGGTCGACCACATTTTTGAACAAATTATAGTTGAGGTCGACCACATTTTTGAACAAATTATAGTTCGAAGATGCATCTCCGAACGCACCTAAATCACAACCAAAATGTGCTATTCTGAGATTGACCACATTTTTGACCAAATTGTGGTATGAAAAATGCATCTCCTAAATGTTCCCTAAAAGTTTTTGAAAACGTGGTAAATATAAAGGGGGATTTATTTCGGAGATGTATCTCCGGAGTCCTCACTGAATCATATCAGAACAAAACCATTGCTCAAAAATTCAATTTTTGTGAGGCTAACTTATATTAATGTAAAGTATATTAAAGTTAAAGGAGAGGGAAAATTCAAACATAAAAAAAAGTAAAGATAATTCATACATAATATTTGTCCGAAATACATCAAAAATACCCCAAATAATAATACATTCCAATATAAATGATTGGGTATGTCTAACCGCCTGTCTCCTCCACCGCTGCATGTACTGCACAATATTTCGTAACTCGAAAATCATGCGCTTCACTAAGGGCAACTGGGGACTGCCATCCACAAAGAGTCTTGACTCTATGGTTGCTCTACCTATATTCGCAACACGCCGACATACTACCGTCACGCTCTCTGCTTGCTCACCTCGAACCTCATGTACCTCATAGTTAGTTGGTTTAGGTAGTTCTTCAGGAGTGTCTTGTGTCATGATAGAGTGTGGCACCCTATAGAACCATGTCATGTAGCCCCATCACAAGCTCATTGTTGGCTCTTGACGTACTCCTTTGGTATTAGGTGACTCTCGAAATCATCCAGTAGTCAACTGACGCATCACTCCCTCGGGCAAATAAGGATACATAAGAGATGCCCCACATCCCAGCCAAGCCGGAGTATAAGGAAATGTCATGAAACTGACTTGTCTGGCAGTGACCCTCGCATGGACAGAAACAAACGTCATCTGGTACCATACGGTCAAGAGAGACTCTGAATGACTCGAGCACACCATTCCCCCTGTACGGAACAAAAGCCGCTGCACGAGGCCGGTTCTCTGTGTAGTCAGGCGCAACTTCAAACACGGTGATGCAAGGGAAGTGGGAGATGTTCCATTCCTGAAAATGGTTCAGATACAATATTAATAACAAGTGTAACAAATGAATTATGAAAATATTTGTAATAAGAAATCACTGTAAGCAGCGTGCAGCACCCCGTCATCTGCTTTGTCTTTCAAAGACAAGTCTCCCCCAGCTTCGAGTACAAGTAGGCCAAACAAGCGGTCCCCCAGTTGTACTCGTGAATCGCACTTAGGTCTGTGAAGTACTTGAGGTATAGCACAATGACGTACGTTGCATTTTTGTCCACAAACATGGACGTGCCAACCAAGAAAAAGAGGTAACACCTTAATGTGCAATATCGGTAGTACTCAACCTGCACATCATCTCCTACGACATCCGTAGCCCCCTTCACATGATCATTATAAAGGGTTTTCAAAAAGCTAAACCGTGAATGAGCAACTCTAGTGCGAGTTTCCTCCTTCGACGCCTTACCTGGGTTAGCCCCCAACAGGGTGACCATTAGATCAAACCCTACCTAACGCCTTATCCTCTAGTGGTCCATTAATTTTCCCCCGATTGAAAGATGCAGAAGGCAAGAGACATCATCCAAAGTGATGGTTATCTCGTCTATAGGTAGGTGGAAAGATGACGTCTCTGAGTGCCACCTCTCTGCAAAAGCTGCCTGCATGCTGTGGTTTATGGTCAAGCATGTAGATGAACATAAACTGGCAAGACCGGAATATCGGATAACATCACCGAACCAATGGTCAGTGGGCTGTGGCAACACCAGTATCTTCCTACCGTTGTTAATCATTTTCGAACAATTACACTCTTGAAAAAAGAAAACATAATTAGTATGGATTTAATTAGTTGACACCATATGTATTACAAAAGAAAAGAAATATACCTCTCCATTCCAGACATACCTAGCAGCATGCTCTGCATAATTATAAAGTAAAGAGGTGTCATACGACCCTTTTGGATAACTCTCTAATGGGGCATTGTGATCGGCTTCCTCATGGGCTTGAAGTGCTTCAGGGTTAACAGGGGCCTCATAATCCTCGGGTTCTTCTGCATCATATGCCTGAGATGTTTGAGAGAGTCTGCTACAAGTTATCAGAAACTTGTGCCCTCGTGCCCTCGCTGCGGCCCTCTCATGTCGTACTAACGCGGTTTGGGACACACGCTCAAGCCTAATCCGACTAATGTTGTCTTCAGCCATTGTATCTGCATTATAAACAAGAGACAAATATCAACAGCAAGCCTGGAGAAATTCACGAAATGTCATAATTTTTTGACCGAGTCAAATCCGGAGATGTATCTTCCAAAACAATGCTGAGCAAATCCGGAGATAGTAAATCCAGAGATGTATCTCCGAAAAATAATGCAAAGCAAATCCAGAGATGCATCTTCGGACAAACCCGCGATTGTCTCATGGCTGATACGCCATTTCGGCCTAACTGTCCTAAGAAAACCTCATTGCTTGTTTTTATAACCTGCTAATTTCGTTTACACTACTACCTAAAGTGTCTAAAACAACAAATGTATCCTAAAAAACTAACTACAAATCAAATCATAAAAACAACTTATTGGAAAAACTTGCCAAATAAAAATTGATTGATGAGAGGGAGAAATTTAGATGTTATGAGATAATGGAAAGAGCTCCAATGATATAAACTTGATTGAATGAATGGTTGCAAAGGTAAAATCGTTGCAGCGATCAAATGCCTTTTTTTGAGAACTTTTGAGAAAATGGAGGAAGAGGGAAGGGTCTGACGCTGGATTTGAAAGAAAAGTGTTTGGAGATGCATCTTCGGACCACCCACTAACATTTGAATAAATGGTGTTTAAGGAGATACATCTTCGGATGCACTTTATTCACATACAGAGATGCATTTTCGTACGCAATTTTTTCACATACGGAGATGCATCTCCGGATTAAATTTTAACATAAAAATAGTGTCTCTTCACTTTAATCTGAGAAATGGATAAAATAGCTTCTGGAACGATAGGGACATTATGGACTTTTCACGGTGGTGCGGGAGCACCCATAAAGATTGAAAAAGCATTCCCCAAAGATTTATCTGAGGGAGCATTATCTCCCCTCACACCCTCACCGGAATTTCCAGTTTTCGAATCAGTTATTCAAAAACTGTTCTAAACTAATCTCATTTCCAGTTTTCAAATCAATTATTCAAAAACTGTTCTAAACTAATCCCATCCGATTTTTATATAAGGATGAAAGCAGCAGTACAAACTAACAGAAAACAACTAAACTAATAAATTAAAACAGAAAAGAAAAAAAAACTACAACTGTCCTAAACTAATGTCATCATATTTTTATATAAGGATGAAGGCAGCAATACAAACTAACAGAAAGCAACTAAACTAATAAATTAAAACAGAAAAACAAAAAAAAGCTACTAAATTCATAAAGGCCTAACTACTAAACCTAAAGACAAAGTTAATCACTGTTTTGATTAGTAGTTCATTCTATAGTAAGGCTTTAAAGCCTTATTAGTAGGAAGAGCTCCTGCAACTCTTTTATCTAACCTTATAGATGTATTCTTGATTCAGTTTGAAAATGCTTTTGTTGTTGGAGTTAAAGGCTCTGTTTGTTTCAGTTTTAAAAAAAAAAGGTTTTTAGTGTTACATATTTTTGTTTAAAAAAAATTTTAAAAAAATAACTTAAGTAAAAAAATTGGTTTAAATAGTTATTTTTAAAAAGTTATTTTAGAAAAGTTATTTTAGGAATTTCAACATTTTATTATAACTTTTTTTGGATATCAAAATTTCAAAAAATCACTTTAATTTGAAGCTATTTCAAATAGCTTTTCATAAAAATCATTTTTGAGATACATCTTTCTGAAAAAATTGTGATTTTTAAATTTCAAAAAATCACTTCAATTTGAAGCTATTTCAAATAGCTTTTCATAAAAATCATTTTTGAGATACATCTTTTTGAAAAATTGTGATTTTGACTGTTTTAATCTTCTATGGTGTATATTTATGTTATAGAATATCAAAAATAATCTTTTAATTTATAAAAAACGAATTAAAAAAAACTTTTAATATTTAAAAAAATATTTTTATAAAAGTCGTTTTTAAAATTACAAAGAAAAAATCTATTTTTTTTTAAAGTTAAAACAAACGAGTCCTAATTCCTGTGCCTCTCACATTTCCTTCTCTTTGTATTTTATTTGATAAGCTCTAATTCATTTTCCATTGCAATATCTAGGAAAGTAACAGGGACACAATATTTTCAAAGTTCAGAAGGTGGTGGAAGGGTGTAAATATTTTTCAGAAGGCATATGTTTTGATTCCAATACACCAGGAGTAAGTTTTCTTGGTAGCACCGAAGCTTCAGTTGTAGATGTTAATTTTCGTATATGGTGGGAAGTTATTTTTGTGTTTTTATTTTTTATATTTTTAAATTCACAAGTCTTCTTAGCTTGTGTTTTCCCTCACACACATGCTTCCTAGGCCGTTCATCCTAGAACCGCTCCAAAAAGACGCTTAATTTTGAAGTTCCAATCAATTCTTTTAGAATTGTTGGAGTAACCATGTGGTTACTGTCATGGTTATTTTTATTATTATCCTATTTTCTATTATAATAATATTCTCTTAAAATTAAGTTGTAATTCTCCTATATATATCATCTATTTCTGATGAATAAAATAGAATAGTAAACCCCATTTTCTGTAATGGTATGAGATGATTATTAGGGTTTAACCAAAAGAAAAAAATTGGGTTTAACCAAAAGAAAAAAAACCTTCTTCTTGCTACTGTCTGCCCAACTTTTCTTCTCGCTGCCAATAAACCTATCATCATTCTTGGGTTTAACAGAAAACAAAACAGAGACAGCAGTTGCTTATCCGTGGTCTGCCCTAATCATTGGCAGCAGGCTCTTTCTACCTCGAAGGTCGACATTTTGAGTCATTTTGTTGACTCTGAGTGCAGAAATTTTGATCTTATAGGCAACATTGATGACCATGCTGCTGTGACTTCTATCAAAGTTGTTATAAGTGTCATCTTTTTGCCTGATTGCAAGCATATCGTTTAAGTGGATGGTGATAGTTGTGTTTTTGTATGGAAATTTCCCACTTCACCGTCTTCTAAAATATTGTAGAAAATAATGAGAAAAAGTAATCCGCCTCCAAGAATCCCTGGTCAACCTCCTGCATGTAGTCACATATCATCTTTGCAAAGAAGAGTGTCAGCGGTACAAGATCAATCACTGGGATGTTTGTTCATTAATGAAAGAGAGCAAAAGTGGAAATGGAGTGCTTAACTCAAAAAGTATTAATATAGTATTTCAAGACTTCCCAAATAGGCGCAAGCAAATGTGAGTCACTGCAATGATGTTAGTTACATTTCAATAGAGGCATATTCTAATTTATCCCCAGAAGTTCAAATATCATTTGATCATGCTTCTTTATCGTTAGAAACTTTGAACACTCAATGCACTTTAGGGCCTAGCAGTACTTTCAACAACACTGATTTGGACAACCATTGGCACAATGTTTACACTAATTGTATGGATGCACTTTTGACCAGGGTGATGCAAAAAGTATTTGAGACAATGTTTCTGAAGATTCTTCGAGTTCAACACAAGATAGGGCTATGATCACTAAAGATGAGATCTCCTTTGAACTTTTTGAGTTAAGCATTCCTTTCCCACTTTTGCTCTCTTTCTTTAATGAGCAGACATCCCAGTTGATCTTGACACTCTTCTTTGCAAGATGGTATACGGCTACAAGCAGGAGGTTGATCCGGGATTCTTGAAGGCAGCAGATTACTTTTTAGCAATATTTTAGAAGACAATGAAGTAGGCAATTTCCATATAAAAACACAACCAACCGGCAAAAAGATGACACCAATAACAATTCCAGCATGTCCCGTGGCCTTGGCAACCATCTCTCTAGTCATATATCCATATGGACTTGTTAGAGAATGAGCAGACCACATACGAGCAGCTTGGATCCATTATAACCTTTATAGGTTTTTCAAAAAGTTTATCACCAAGAAGTCACAGCAGCAGAATGGTCATCAATGCTACCTATACGATCAAATCCTCTGCACACCCGAACACTCGAGTCATAAAAATGTATAACCAGACAATAAGGGTAGCCTATAAAACTTGCATAACTACATCTTTCAACATCATAGAGATGGATTATATCATTATACAATCTCACCCCCTGAGGCAAGGAATCAACTGCTTTTTGCAATTTCCTCAGATATGTCTTGGGTGGACAAGGTAAAGCTTAATGTAAGAATCTTTGCATCATGAGCACCCAGTAAACATGTGTAATCAGATGTTTGAAGGTTGAATATATGAAGCTTTTCTTTCCAATCACCAGCAACAAGATACTTTCCATCTGAACTAACAGCAAGTGATCGAAATTCCTGACGGGTAAACATGAAGAATCCAATAACTCATTGTTAAGCTGTTCCGGACGAGAACTCATTGTGAGGGCACCAAGAATAGAGAGAGTGTGTTATGTACGTGAGAGTGAGATATGATTGCCCACTAGGAGGGAACGTACCGTTTTGACTCATCATTAAATGACTTAGTATCAAAATGTAATTCCCCATTTCCCTTAATTGCTATAACTCATCAGTACTAGAGGAACTTAATTTTTTGATGTTTCTTGACTTCTCGTCCGCAAGTGATCGAAATTCCTGACAGGTAAACATGAAGAATCCAATAACTCGTTGTTAAGCTGTTCCGCGCCTTTTTTTGACAAATCAGATTGCAAAGAAACATCCCATAGCCTAATTGTATCATCAGTAGAGCATCTTGCAAAATAAATTTCTCCCGAACAACCTATTAGCAGTGCATGCAAGAGATGGATCATGCATGTTTTCACAACATAGATTCTTGATGTCCCATATGCATGAGGAATGTGAAACTAGCCCAGAAAACTTTGTGGCCTGATTCACACCATGGATGTCCCAGATGTAGAGGCTAGGAAATAACCACTAGCTTTTCCGAGGTTGAAAACTGACATGCAACTGCATCAAGCAGTGCACGTAACTGTTGGAAATTTTGTTCAGGAAATATGGCATGGTAAACAGTGTCATTTTCTTCATAACACTTCTTGGCCTTTGAGTATAATACACTAGCAGCATATTCCAGCGACATGGGGATATATAATAGGACTGTTCCATTATTGCAAGCACAGACAGTTAGTTTTCCTGTTATTGATAATGCAAAAGATTTTTGAACGTTCAAGATCTCAGATTTTTTGACTGAAAGCCTAAAATGAATAAGGTATAAAGTGCCTTTAGCACACATCGAGATATTGAAAGTACCTTCAAGATCACAGACTTACTGACAATCGTAAGTACCTTCAAGATCACAAACTTACTAACTGACAATCGTAAGTCTGTGATCTTGAAGGTTCAAAAAGCTTTTGCATTATCAATATCTGGAAAGCTAGTTTAGAGTTATGGCTCAAGGTATTTGTGAAGGATTATGGATCCATAGGGTCCTAGAAGAACTTAAAGTAAAATTTGAACTTCAGCTGAAATTATACTTTGACAGTAAAACAATCATTAGCATATCTCATAATCTAGTTGAAGATGACAGGACCAATCACATTGAGATAGATCGTCATTTCATAAAAGAGAAATTAGATGCCACTCTCATATGTCTACCATTCGTCACCTCTAGCCAACAAACCAACAAACTACAAACATCTTCACCGGAAGCTTGGCCAAACCTACATTTGAGCATTTCGAGGCATGTTGGATATGATAGATATCTACGCCCCAACTTGAGGAGGGCGTTGGGGTAAAAGTGTGGTTACTGTTATAGTTATTTTTATTTTTATTCTATTTTCTATTATAATAATATTCTCATAATACTAAGGAGAGAATTATGTTGTTATTCTCCTATATACACAAGTTATTGTTGAAGAATAAAATAGAATAGTAAACTTTATTTTCCAATAAGAATGTGTTTGGAAGTTAGGATGGGAAGGAATGAGAGGAAGAGAAGAGGGAGGAGGAAGGAGGGTTATCTCTCACCTTGTTTGGAAGGTAGGGAAATCCTCAGCATTTGGGAGGTAGGATGGGAAGGAAGGAAAGGAAGAGAAGAGGGAGAAGGAAGGAGGATTATCTCTCCGGGTCAAACCCGCTTAACTTTGGAGTTCTTGGTGCATCTTGTTGGTATAGTAGTTCGAATTAATTCTTATAGAATGTGTTTGGAAGTTAGGATGTGAAGGAAGGAGGGGAAGAGAAGAGGGAGGGGGAAGGAGGGTTATCTCTCACCTTGTTTAAGAAGGTAGGGTAAACCTTCCCATCTGGGAACTGAAAAAACATTAGAAGAGGGATTTGGAGGGTTTTCAAGATATCCCCATACCTTGACCTCTTTCTTAAAGATTCTGAAGGGAGATCATATTATAAACTCCCACTTCCATTCCCTTCCCTTCCAGAACCCCTCTCCTATACAAATCCTTAAGTTTTCCTCAACTTTACATTTGCATGCATGCCTAGTCTTGGATTTCTCTTGTTCAACAACTTTACATTTGCATACATGCCTAGTCTCGGATTTCTCTTGTTCAACCTAAATTGGTCCAATTAGGTGTACCTCCTCCTATAAGCCTGCAGGGTCTTATCCTCCGTGCTTCTTCTTTTACACCAGTATTCCGTGCCCACTCTCTTCATCCCCAAGCATCACAACGGGGGCTTCATGTGGATGCTATAAAGATTGAAATGCTTCATTGTTTTGTTTTTATTTATCTTTGGATATTTCTTTTCTGGGCTTCTTGTGGATGCTATAAAGATTGAAATGCTTCATTGTTTTGTTTTTATTTATCTTTGGATATTTCTTTTCTCCTTGTTGGTACGTATACTTTTGTTTTTAATTTTACTCTTTGAAGAATACTGGGTACAGAAAAACTGGCTGGCTAGATGAATTAATTAATCATATTGGTTGTTTAAATATAAACTTTTATACTTATTTGTGGGCAGTTTTATTTCTACTATGCACTTTCTGCTCAATATTTGCATCTGACAGAAGGATCCTTGTTTTTTATATATAAATTAAGTGCTCACAACCTCTACTGATAATTGATATATGGATTTATTTTTGTGTTGTTTTGCGTGGCCAGTCTTCATTGGAGCTTGAGCATTATTTGTTTCCCAGACAAAGAAGATGAATCAGGACCTATAATACTTCATTTGGATTCTTTGGGGCTTCACTCTAGTCGATCAGTTTTTGAAAACATTAAAAGGTGAGACTAGAGAGTTGTTTGTTACTCCTTCTGCTACAAATTATTTGTCATTTAAAGTAATATATACATCTTTAGAATTATTATTGAAAGTAATTGTTTGGCATAGTTATCAGTTATATATATATATATATATATATATATATATATATATATATATATATATATATATATATATATATATATATATATATATATATATATATATATATATATATATATATATATATATATATATATATATATATATATATATATATATATATATATATATATATATATATATATATATATATATATATATATATATATATATATATATATATAAGTCAGGATTTTTAAAAACAAAAGGCGGTAAAAACAAAAAATAAAAGAGAAAAATAAAATAAAATATGAAAATAAAAGAAAGTAAAAATAGTAGCAATTTTAAGTTTAGAATTTTTGTTAAAGTTTCAAAGTAGAATTTTAAATAAAAATGAGAATGAAATACAGTAACGAGGAAAATGCGGGAAAATTTTGGGTTGCCTCCCAGTAAGCGCTGTTTTTAACGTCTAAAGCCTGACGATAGCTTGGTGACAAGCTATTCGGGTGTTTGAGCTGGAAGCTCAAGCAATGCTATACTGCAGACTTGAGGGCTGTTTTCGTTCTTATTATAATGTTTTAGACGTTGCCCGTTTATATATATATATATATATATATATATATATATATATATATATATATATATATATATATATATATATATATATATATATATATATATATATATATATATATATATATATATATATATATAAGAACTACTATTTTTTTTTACTATTTCTTCTTTTTAGGTAAACAGTCATTTTGGTTTCTGAATGTGTGAGGCACCTGTCATTATAGTCCCTTAATGTATCTAAATTGCAAATACCTCCCTAAGTGTCTGTTTTGTTTGTAACTGTATGGGACTAATTAACTAATGCAAAACGCCAAAACACATTTGAAGACAAAAACGACTAACTAAAGGGACACTTGAAAATGTGTTTGCAATTTCGATACATATCCATTCAGGGACTGCAATAGCAACACCTCACACATTCAAGGTACCAGAACATCATTATTTTGGGACGAAGACAGAACAAGTACATCTGGGACAAAGTGTTGGGCTAGTGAGTAGTGAGTCAAATCAACAAAAGTTACATGCCAAATAATCATTGGCGGTGAAAGAAGTCACTGCTAATGTGTTTCATTTGTGTGAAAAATGTCACCAAAGAAATGATTGTCGGTGGGACTAGAAGCCATTAGATAAAATCTTTCAAATAAGCTGGAGAGGCCTTAGGAGAATTTGTAGTGTTAGAGGAAGCCATTATAGGTCAATGGGTGAGTAACACGTTGGAAAAGGGTTGTTGATGCAACCGATTAGCTGTCCGTGTCTCAACCAGAAAGCGAGGTTGGAAATAGATCCTGACTACAGTGGCGTAACACAAGTGAAAATGGTGCCAAAAAGCTTACCGAACATCATCTCACATGGCAAAGGCCATGACTGATTTTTGAAATTGTCTCTCTCTGTCAATGTGCAGGAGACTCAGATCGCTTGCCATGTTTTCGTTGGAGGTATTGGGATGATGTAGATGAACTCAACAGTTTTTTATCATAGGATCTACCAAGCTCTAGATATCATGCTGAAGTTATGGGATTTAGATATATTAATTAATTTGATATTAACTGGATACAATAGACGAATCTCTAACCCTTGTAATTTATAATGATACAAGACTCGTAATCTAGACAAAAAGGGAAATCTAAAAACATATCACGATAATAACCAAGTAATATCGAAACCAGCAGAAAATTATCCTAGGAGACAAACTAAGATACTAAAATATAATATCTATTTAACATATTCAATATATCTGAAGTGTTTGACAATTTTCAACTAAACCTGATTAGCCTGCTAAAGATATGATTTGAACTTAGTAAAACCCCTATTTTAATATGTCGGTTTGTTTTAACTGATTGACTTTGAGCTGGACCACTAGGCCTGTAGCCTAGACATTTGACTAGGTGGATCCCCAGTCTAATTCTTACAATTTGCTTTGTTAGTTCATTCATTTATCTTGGCATATTCTGATGACTGTTTATAGACATTTATATTTGATTTAAACATATAAATTAATGATGTCAAATAATGCGCTGTAGCTATTTGATAAAAGAAAGGAACTATTTGAGTAAGGAATGCGCGTCTTCAGATGTCCCGATTGCAGACAGAATATGGAAGTCTCTTTCTAGTACAATTGAAACTGTAATCATGAAGGTAAATTTCTGGGTTATAAATCTAGAGTCCTGTGCTGTTGATAGTTTGATACCTAATTACGTTTGTTGTTGGAAGGTGATGTTTCCAATTTCACCATTTGTTCTTAAAATGAATGACCTTTTAGTATATGCAACATATTCCTACACTTACAGATTGTTTCTGTTCATAATTAAATAGTTGCTGAGTGAATCACATTCGATGGAGTGAAATCCATCTTTAGAACCTTCTTTGATGAACAGCCGACCACAAAACTTCTGCCAGCTTAAAAAAAAGCTCTTCCAACCCTAGACTTCTAACTAAACCTTCATGACAATGGAATTTTGTTTCAGATTTTCAGTATGTTGACTGCGAGTCTAGTACACTGAAGTTTGTTTCATAAAATTTGATGCTAGCATTGTCGTCATCTCAACAACACTAATATTTTTTCTTGAATTTGATGCTAGCATTTTTATACTACTGGTAGAAATTGGTATCTCATTAGTTTTATTTAGAGACAACATGTTCTGTTTCCCTTAACTATCTCTCTAAATCACCGACTAACTAACCAATTAACTAATTCACTAATTGACTAACTAGGTTACCTATCACCAGCTTTGCAAGTCTTATAATTGTGCAGTAGATTTCCAAATCACGTTGAATAACCACATACTTTCAAAACCCTTTCCACTCCTTTGGTCCTCAGTAAAATAGATACTAGGAAACGAAGCAGCAACGTTTTTAGATAGTTGTTTTAGCGAGTATAATGATTTTTTCTTTCCTGAAACTTCAAAATTGCGTGGCTTCCACCATAGAATGTCACAATTTTGTGTTTTTCCTCTCCAGGTTCCCCAACAGAAGAATGAGTATGACTGTGGTCTTTTTGTGCTGTACTTCATTAAGCGTTTCATGGAAGAGGCACCCGATCGACTGAAAAAGAAAAATTTATCAATGGTAATAGTACACATGATTTCAAAATTTTAAAAAAATGACAAAAATGGTTTTTAAAATTCTTTTAAAATAAAAAACAAAAAACTAAAACAAATTGCCCAATGTCATTTAAAATAATGGATTTTATTGATTGAGACTTGTCAATTTACAGTTTAGCAAGAAATGGTTCAAACCTGAAGAGGCATCCAGTTTGAGAGCGAAAATCCAGAAGTTGCTTGTAGCAGAACTACACAGTTCAATCAAGCCTGATGGTATCACTGAGTCATCCCCTTCATCTGCTGGTGACGCAATCGAATGCGATGAGACTGCCAAGGACTCTAGCTCTTCATCTGCTGGTGACGCAATCGAATGCGATGAGACTGCCAAGGACTCTAGCTCTTCATCTGCTGGTGCTGCAACCGAATGCGATGAGACTGCCAAGGTCTCTTCAATCAAAGATGGCATCACGAGTTGCGATTCTCTCATGATAGAATGAACAATCTGTTGATAGTCCATATAGTTGATTTTGGTAGTTTTTTCTGTGTACAGACACCGGCTCAGCCGGTAGTTTTGGATGGGATGTTTCCTATGGTCTTTTTAAATAGCCAAATAGCCTGCTATAGTGGTTGACATTTTATGACCAAATAAGGGTCAAACTTATCTAGTGTCTGACCATTTTTTATGGGTTAGGATTAGGAAACAGCACAGAACTGACGATTAAATATTATAGGGTTTAAAGTGAATATGCGAGAATTATACTTTAAAAAACTTTTTCTTTTATTTATAATCTTCAATTTTAGTTGCCTTATTTTCAACATGTTATTTTAAGTTTTTATATGGATTCTTAAAAGTAAGATGTCACCCAATATTATACTCCCTCTCGTTCCACAATGACTGATTCATTTGGAATAAAAGTGATGCAAATAAAATGATCTATTTTAATTTTCAATGTACATTTTTTAACTGTGGCCTTTAATTAATACTCTCCATTTTATAATGAGTGATTCGATTAACCATTTCACACTGATTAATAAAAAGAAAGAAACAGATAAAATAGAGAATGATATTTTACTAAACTATTTCTTATCAAGTATGGAGAATGATGAAAGTAATATTAATTGAAGGATAGAATTAGAAAAAATGCATTGTAAATTAAAATGAGTCATTTATTTTGAGACAATTTTTTATTTTAAATGAGTCATTCATTGTGGGGCGGAGGGAGTATTATTTCCATCATTCACAATACTTGATAAGGGGTACTTTAATAAAAATAAATTATCTTTTCATTTATTTGTTCAATTTTTGTACTTTAGTAAAAATAAATTATCTTTTCATTTATTTATTCAATTTTTTTAATCTATATGAAATTGTTTACTTGATCATTTATTGTGGTGTGAAATTGTTAACTTGATCACTTATTGTGGGTCGAAGGGAATAACACCATAATGACATGGTGGTATTTGATTTTTGCATTTCATGATCTGTTGTAAAATAAAGAGTTATATAACACTCAATTAGGATTTTGGTTCACCTCACTCCACCAGATTAACTTAAACGGGGTTAAAATAGAGTTGATGTAGGGATGTCAATTTGCATCTATTAATGAGAGATTTTTAAGAAGATTATCTTTATTGAGTTTTGAAATCGAGGATTTTTTTCTGTGGAGACAAAGATGGAAGAAAAATTTCACTTAATGACACTTTGGGGCGTGCTTTGCGGATTCTTTGACCTCGGTCATATTATTTAACTTTTATGTATAATGTACTATATAATATATAATTATATGATTTTGCATTTTTTTTATAAAAAATAATTAATATATTAAGAAATCAAGAGTTATGGTTGGATCATTTTTGTTTTACTACTCCAATATCAAACACTAAAAAAATGCATCCATTACATACTGCGTACACACTGTCTTTTCTTTTTCTTTTCTTAATTTTCTTTGTCTCATCCATTCCTCATTTTCCCGGTTCTCATCATCATCACAACAACCATTCTCATTTATTTTTTGTGTCTATGGTAATTACTTTTCAATTTCATTATATTTCAATTAATAATTTATTTTTCATTCAATCACTAAATTAGCAGTTATGTTTTTAAAACTACAAGTGTTTTTGTATTTTAATTGATACAAGATGCGTTTTTATTTAAAAAATAAAAGATATAAAATATATGTTTTTTCTAAAAACGGAAAAAATAACGAAATACTAGAGACATAGTTTTGATTGAAAAATATAATTTTTTTTATGATTTGATTTTCATGAAAATCTGTGGAGATAAAGAATGAATAAAAATATTCTCTCATGGTAAAAGATCAAAAAGATGAAAAAAATATTAGGAGTGAGGCGGAGAACAAGAAAATATCCTCCCACATTTTCTATCCCGATGATATCCCTGGGCTGGTGTAATAGGACGAGCTAGATAAGTTTTCTTTGATCGTGTGATTTTGTAAAGTTAAAATTTAGTTTCATTAAAAGAATATTACCAACAAGATGAGAGTACATATTCTTTTTGAACTAGAAAAATATAAAGTACATGTTCTTTAGTCTAATATAATATGATTTTAAAAGAAGGTTTGTGTCTCAATATCTTGCAACACGAGTATGTTCTTAATTACTAGTACTTTTAAACTCTTGGAAAATCACTCTTTTATTCCACTCAATCTTTTTCATTCTAGGTCTCTCTCCATTACTATTTTTGTAGGTTTTTAATTGGTCAATTCTCACATGTAATGCATTTACTTGTTCTCATCATATTTAAGCTGCGAAAGCTTCAAATAATAATCTATTAGTTTTTTTAATAATAGATACTCTTGTCTTTTTCCAGTTAATTGCTCCTTATAGAAATCAAATTTAATTTCATAAAAATTTTTAAACAGTAAATACTCGAAAAACTGAAATTAAAAAAATAAGAAAAAAAATAAAAAAAGGAAACACTATAACATAGAAAATTAACACGGAAAACAAGAATATGACCGTAAATAAAAAATTATGTGTAATATCTATATATAAATACATGAATTTAATTCATATGCATTATTAGTGTAACTTTTTTTTTACACTGTCAATCAATCACCATCATTTATCCTGCCACATTCTATAAATTTTAAGTTACTGATATGACATGACAAATTGATGAATTCCTAATGGATGACAATGTAAATTTATTTTACACTGTCAGTGCATACTAATTAAACTCTAAATACACATGTCTAAAGATACATATTATACATGTTTGCAAGTTTGGTACTGAAATACAAATAAGTTTTTAGTAGCACATTGTATAGATTACATGCCAAAAAAAATAAATAATTAGGAACCATGGCATAATATACACAAGATGCTCCAAAAGACTAAGAACTAAATCATATCAAATGATTCAAAATAGAGTCTTCACAGCGGAAACAATGCAATCCAAAAAGTTAAGACAAGTAAGGATATCAAACAACCTTGTACTTACCATTCACGGAACCTGAACCATCTGAAATATAAGCAACAACATGGGGTGAGATAATAATCTCAGTGGGTACCCTATCTTATGGGTCCTCTCGGCTTTACAAGGTTCTAACAAATCCTAGCTCAAGCCTAAAAGGGAAGGGGCAAGACTTGAGTTCACAACTTCACACTATATAGAAACATGTCACTTGAGTTCATCAACTCAAACAATCACTAATCGGAAACTATAACAAGGCATCCCCTTTTCCCGTCCTCTCCTACGTCTACAACTTTCGGTCGGGTCATGGATCCTTGTAATGTACTTTGACATACGAAATGGATTCGGATTCAAGGTGCTTTCCACATGAATCGTCGCTTCTCATGAGACCGCTCCCCATCTCAAGCCTTTTACTCGTAGGCTCCATTCGTACTACACACGAGGATCAAACATGTCAAAGTGATAATGTGCACATTCTAGAGGAGCGCTCTACATAAGCCTCAACTCTTGGAACGAAACGTCTCAAGGCATTATTTTCGACTACACGATCACAATGTAAACATGATTGTATTCAATAATCGCAAGGCGACACACATTCACCTTATTCTTAAAGTAACACAAAGCCTAGACATGTTTCATATAATGCATCCCACTCTCAAGCTATGTCAACCATCCATCCGTGATACACACCTAGGTATCACATTGAATGGATGTCACTTTCCAGAGTTATTCAAGTCATAATCCTAATATTCTTAACCTAAAATAGATCACTAGGTTAAATCACTTAATTCAACAAGTATTCCTCATAATTTTCATTTAAGGTATCATGGCAAGTGATTAGGAAGGCATACCACATGATTAGAAACAAGGAAAAACACAATTTTTGTTAAGGAAGCATGGTATAGGTTGGCCTATGAAGGTTTCAGGTCGGCCTATACGAGGCGACACATGGGCAGAAGCCACATGCTTCAATATTGATGCGTGGAGGTCGGCCTATAAAGTTATGTGTCTGCTCGACCTAAACTCGCATGTGTCGACCTATATAAGTAATTTTCACATAAAAACTCAACTTTTTGATGCAAAACTCTTTCCAAATCATTCTCAAACCAGTTCCTCCTATTTCTCAGTAAAAAATTTCTGTTACAACTTGCATAACTTCTCAACCTGTATAATGTTCTCTTGGTTTCCAATTCTACGAATTATGTCACCCAACTATCAATAACATGTAATATGTTTCATCAACAACTCACATACATTCCACGATTTTATCTCAAAATCCTAAACACACAAACACAACAACAACAATACCAACACATGAATCACAATAAAGCATGAAGAACACTACCAAACAACTTTCATAGAAGTTCATGGCTATAAGAAACATACATTTCAAACTATCATGATTCATGGAAAACATTAATTATTATCATAGAATATGACTCATGTTGTCATGGATTTCACATTAATATATGATTCAATAAAAAGACCTAATTCCTAAAATCAAGGGTTTCTAACTAGAACCCACCTCTAACACAAGATGAAAAAGTTGTTGATGATGAAGATGAGGTGATTTGATGAAGAAAATGATGAAGTTCTAAACTTTCCTCTTCCTCATTCTTTCTCTTCTTTCTCTCTATTCTTCTTTCCTTTCCCTTACTATGTTTTTCCCAAAATGTTTCTTTTCTATTTCCTTTTTACTGATACATTGAAAAGAGAGAATGATACTAAGTGGTATGGCAAGTAGAGAGAAAAGTTGGTAGAAACATGTGGTCAAAAAGTGGCTAAGAGAATTTGTATGGTGAACAAGTGATCACAAGGTAGTAACAAATATATTAAGTGACACATACTTAATATTTGTTCTACTAGATTAATTGATCAATTATTAGTGTTATCAAAATATCTCAATTAATAAAAGGCCAATTCTAAATAATATTAATTAAGTCAATCTGAACTCACTAGTTACTCTAATCATCCCATCTGATAATTTTCAGAGTACACTAGGACACAGGTGATCTCAAATAACATTATTTAGAGAATTTTATTAAATACAAAGTATTATAT